GCGTGGACTCGCACCCGCTCTTCGGGCAGCTCCTCCGTCTCCGACACGGCTCCGGTAGCGGGCCACGTTGAAGAGTCCTCCTTGAGCCAAGGCGGCCCGTACTACCAGAGAGGATGATTTCCTAACTCGCCGGGAGAGATACCTCGAGAGGCACAGTCCGCTGGATTGTCCCGGCCAGGCACATGATGCCACAGCGCCTCCGGGACCGCCGTTTGAATTGCTGATACCCTATTGACCACATAGGTCTTCCATCGAGTAGGGTGCCCTCGGATCCAGCCCAGGGCCACCATGGCGTCCGACCATAGATGAAGAGGCGCCTCGGGCAGTTCGAGCGTGACCTTCGTGTGGGCAGCAAGCCGCACGAGCAGCGCAGCAGCATCGAGCTCAAGTCGAGGCAGAGCCACGGTTTTGAGAGGGGCGACCTTGGTCTTTGCCGCGAGCAAGGTGACCAGCCATGATCCGTCCTGCGCCTGTGCTCGCAAGTAAACCACGGCAGCATAGGCTTTCTCGGAGGCATCGGCAAAACCATGAAGTTCGACGCCGAGTCCTCTGGCGTCTGGATATATTTTCCGAGAGACTCGAATTTGCTCCAGCAACGGGAGCTTCGCCTGGTAGGTCTTCCACTGCAGAGCGTCAGTCTCGCTCAAGGGGTCATCCCAGTCCAGTCCTCTTAGCCAGGTAGCCTGGAACAAGATCTTTGCACTCACTACCACCGGCGCCAGCCAACCGAGCGGATCGAAAAGCCGGGCAGTGAGGGACAGCACCGACTTCTTCGTGAAAGACGTCACTAGACTCGTCTTCGTCGCAAAGGAGAAGCTGTGGAGGCAGGGATGCCATTGAAGGCCAAGAGTGGCATGCGACTCTTGCGGTCGCCAAGAGCGGAGCTCGCGCTGCATCCTGTGCTCCGCTGGAACGTCCGTCAGCAAGGACTCCTCGTTGGCCGACCATTTGCGGAGCGGAAAGCCGCCCGTCATGCAGAGCTCCGAGAGTTGACGCCGGAGAGCCAGAGCCTTTTCCAGTGTATCCGCGCCCGAGAGTACATCGTCCATGTACCTGTCAATCAGTAGGGCGATCGCGGCCAAGGGGAAGAGTTTCTTTTCGTCCTCGGCAAGTTGTTGAACGGAGCGCATCGCCAGGAACGGTGCACACGTCAGCCCGTAAGTGACCGTGTTGAGAAGATACTCCTGTATCTCGTCTTCAATCTTATACCGCCAGGAAATTCGCTGCAGATCGCGATCATCGGGATGGACTAGGATCTGGCGGTACATCTTTTCCATATCCGTAGCCAGGACGTAGCGCTAGCGACGCCACCGCAGCAGTACATCGGCTAGATTCGGCAGGAGGTTTGGTCCCACCCGCAGACACTTATTGAGCGAGTCACCAGAAGGTAATGACGTCGAGCCGTTGAACACGACGCGCAGCTTTGTCGAAGTGCTCGCCTCGCGCATCACGCCGTGGTGTGGAAGGTAGCTCACACGTCTCTTCGTTTTGTCCTCCGGAGCCACCGGCGTCATATGTCCAAGCTTCTCGTACTGCCGCATGAACTCGACGTACAGCTGCTTCAATTTGTCATCTCGGGCGAATCGTCTCTCCATGTGCGCCAGTGCTCGTAAGGCCGAGCTACGCGTTCCCTTGAGGTCGGGCAACGGGTCCACGACCGGGAGTCTCACCATGTAACGACCGTCCGCGGTCCGGGAATGTGTGAGGGAGAAGAAGTTCTCGCACTCACGGTCTTCTGGCGTAAGCGCGAGTACGCCGCTCGGTAGCTCCTCCTGCTGCCAGAATCTCTTCACAATGCTGGAAAGATCTTCAGTGATGTGGCATTGCAGAGTCGTCGATCTCTGAGCGCAGGTCGCCTGACCGGCGGCGCCCGAAATAATCCATCCCAGCGTCGTTCTTTGTGAGACCGGCTTGAACGGTTCGCCCTTTAGCAAGCCCGGCTGGAGAATCGCGGCGAATACATCAGCTCCAAGCAGAATTTCCACCGGGTCCGAGGCCGCAAAGTCGGGATCGGCAAGCTCTAGCCCGCGGAGATACGGCCACGTCGCACGATCCGCAGAGACCCCGCCGCCGTAGAGAGTGAGCCGAGGTAGAATTAAGGCCGACACCGAGATGGCTGGCCCGCCGTCTCGAGGCGAGATATCCAAGGCCACGAGGCCTCGAGCGCGACCCGTACGCTTTCCGCCGACGCCGAACACCGCGACCGAGGTAGGCGCGCGGGACAGTTTCAGTCGCTGTACCAGCGATTCCGAGACGAGAGATGATTCGGAGCCTTGATCGACGAGCGCTCGCGCGGTGTGCTCTATCCCGAAATGATCGCGCACGCAAATACAAGCGGTAGCGAGAAGTACCGCCACCGGCTTCCCGAGGGTTTTCTGCGCGAGATGCGAAGTCTTAGCCACCTCCCCGCCCGAGTACGCGTCGTGGAGGCTCGTATGATGTCGGGCATCGCATACAGAGCAGGTCCGCGTCGACGCGCATTCGCTCAGTTT